TGGGAGCCAAAGGGAAGGGGCAGGCAATTTGGATATATAACCACCCAAGGTCTCTCTAAATCACTTTTGTGCCTTGTAAAACATACTGTAGAGAACTATGGGCCAGGGCTACCTACACCTTTGTACAGGGCTTAGTGCACTAGGCCCCATTCTTGGTGGGTCCCTAGGCACTTCCATAACAAAGATTGTTATTAACTGACAAAGCTACAAGCATACTTGAAGGATTAGGGTCCTGACAAGATCAAGATATATTGATAATTTTATGCAGTTTCTCTAATTTGGATTAAATGAAATTATAAAAATGTAAGAATAAAAGAATTTTTTTGGCACTGCTTCCCTCCCAGCCTTCTGGTTTTACTACACACCATTTTTCTTTCTAACCATCTTCCTTTTTTTCTTCTCTCCTAATGCTGGCAATTGTGAATAAAGAAACATACTACAGAAAAACAAGTGAGATTTTTTTGTTACTGTGGAAGCTAAAACGTTTAAGAAAGGAACATGAATGTGGAGATGGATCTTCCCAAGTTTAAAGCTATAGTGATTTTGGTGTGTTAGGGGAAGGCAAGGATCTGAACTTGTGAATTTCCTGGTTGGTGCATTTAAAAGGATAACTTCTAATATTTCACGAATAGTTCAAGATAGGCATAGAAGAAATGCAGAACATGTGGCTTAGAGTGTATTTCCAAACACAAGGGTTACAAGGTAATGATTAATCTTAGAAACAAAAACTTGAATACATTGCAAGGCTTAGCTACTTTTAAGAAACTGGAACAAAGAAATAATCGAGCTACGGTAGAAGAAACAGCCATTCTCGCTCCTCTTGACCTTTGGTTTTGTTCTCTCACTACTTTAACTGAATATCTGCATATTCAAGCAAGTTAGAGTTCCTACTGCTGACTTGGTTACTATAATGTTCTATTCTGCAACTTTTGGGAAGTGACTGCAGTTGATAAGCATGTACACAACACAAGAGCCAAGGAACAACTGAACCTTCATTAGCTAGAAAAAACCTGTGTCTTCACTGAATGTTAGTGTGTATAAGGATTTTAAAAACAAACAAAATACAGCAGCTATCGGTGAACAGATAGATGTAGGGCCTGGAAGAGGGGTGAGAAGAGGAAAAGAATCGATAACCTAATCAGTGAGCCTTTTTTTTCCCAGCATGTTTCCTGAACGAGAAAGAATGAAGAGTCCCTTTCACTGAATTAATACACTATCTATGGCAGATTAGAGTAAGGGAAACTACTTTTTATTTGTATAGATACATGTTATATATATTTCTTGTATCTAGAGTTCAGGGAATTGCATATAGGCAATGTTTCAGGTAACTTATTTCATTCAAGCAGGACCTTGTCCCTCACTTTACTGTAACTGACTTTAATGTGAGGCTATTCCACTCATGACAGAGAAATTAACACCACAGAAACGAGAACAAAAGCCTCAACTTGGCAGTAGTAAGAAAAATATCTGTGCACCAAATCACAGATTGAGGTGCACCCACTTGTATTACATCAGTGTTCATTTGCAAAAACAGATTCGGTTTCCATAACTCATTCAGACAAAGAGGAAGGTTTGCATTTATTTTTAATTTAGCACACAGACTGGAATAAGTACTTGTCATACTACTTGATTTCCTGGAATATGAGCTTTGTACAAGACACGGGACTGGAAAATATTTTAAAAATAGATTATGTTTAAGCCGATCTTCAAATGACAGAAGTATTGAAATACCCTGAATTTAAAGAAGCACATTTCTGTGTTCATTTCTTGAATTTTTCTTCAAAGCTGAAAGTATGCTGAACCACCACCCAAGCTTAAAGATTTTTTTTTTTTAAAGCTAAAGGCTGACATCCTGCTTTCTACTTTAGAAAACAAGACAGGGCAAAAGAGCTGAGCAAGAGAGGCCACTGTAGAATGGGCAAAGAAGAAAGGACACAGATGAGGGCAGTGAATGACAATATTTTTCTGGCCCCGGGGAATTATTTATTTGAGGTGCTGAGCACATGCAGCTATTGTCTTGAACTGAAGCTGTGGGTATGTGGAAAGTCAGGCCCCAAAGCGCTCAGTGTTTAAATGAAACACATACTGCTTAAAATGTACAGAACTAGAGAGTATTTTCATTGTACTATAACATCTTTTCATTGAACACTTTACTCTCCTCTTCCACAACTTTTGAAATGACGTTGGTGTGGCTACTATAATTTGTTTAGGCATTTCTCATCCCTTGGCCAGATGTGGTACTCTGGATATTGTGGACCACAGAATTGTTACTTACCCCATAGTTCATGAAACTTTGGAACACTAAATTTAAACCCCCTATTATTCACATTCTTGCAATCAGAGTTGGTGGATGTAGGGGGAGGGATAGCTCAGTGGTTTGAGCATTGGCCTGCTAAACCTAGGGTTGTGAGTTCAATCCTTGAGGGGGCCATTTAGGGATCTGGGGCAAAAATTGGGGATTGGTCCTGCTTCAAGCAGGGGGTTGGACTAGATGACTCCTGAGGTCCCTTCCAACCATAACCTTCTAAGATTCTGATGGGGTGGGGGAGCAAAAGATTTCCAAAGACACAATTTCACCCCTTTAAAACCACTGCAGTTATAAGAGTCAATACAGTGTGAGTGTATGTGTAATAGATGCCTGCTTGCAAGAAGGCACAAGAATTATCATCTTTCAATTGCCAAAAAGTGTCTTGGGCAGCCGATTACCGAGATTGTGTTATTGTAGGGCACACCTCACTGACTGGTGGCTACACCCTAACAACTTCAGCTTCAGCACCAACTTCTAATGACCAAGCTAGCTGCAGGTTTAAGATCGCTTTAGAATTTCAGATTTTCTCAGGAAAAGCACTTTGCACAGCAACAGTGAGTATATATCTGTTAAAATCAGTTGAACTCTCAAGTAACAGATTAACATAATATTTTTATCCAGATATAAAGTTTTAATCCAGCATGAAGAAGGACACTTGCCACTTTCTTTGTAGCAATACTGGTTTCACAACATATAGTCCTATACCTAACTACAAAGGGAAACAGGCTACATAAAGTTCTGTAGGTATTTGACAAGAAAAGTTGAAAACAAAACAAAAAAAATTTCAGTTAGACTTCCTTTGGGATTACCAGTGCTAAGAGTAGGTCAAATTTTGTAAGGAATATTTAAATTCCTTCCCATTTCCCTTTTCCCCATACCCCACCCACTATTCCTTTTTTTAATACTTCAGTTGGGATTTTAAATCTCCTTTCCTCCCCAGTATACATATACATATCAGATGCTACAAGCCTCATCTTCATTTATTCATCTGCATATTAAAGAGGTTGTATGAGCAAAGGGACTACCACATCCCATAGAAGCCCATAACAGAGCTCAATAACTATACTGCTAAGAGATGTCATCCATAACATCAAGTGTTCGAGAACTACTAGAACATGTTACTGTTATAGACAAACTTAATCTTGCCAATAGTGTTACTGCACTGGCCAGGAAATGCACTGACATTGCTGGCACCAAGGAACTGAGAAATAGAATGGGTAGATAAGAGGGAGATTTGGCTAGATTCCAAATCCAATACTGATCTCTCTTTCTCTCTCTCACTCAAATCTGAAGCCTCACATCAACGAATAACAGAAAAGCTAACAACTGTGCTAACATTCATTGTGAAGGGGAGGGAGTCACACTAATATATTTTAACCACCACATTTAAGTAGGAAAAATTACAGGCCTAAAAGTCGTTTATATATATATTAAATATGAACAGAAATAGGAAGATCTTTCCAACAGACTGATAAATGACTGAACTACTTTTTTAACCCAACCTAAAACAAATATTTTGAAAGTTATGTATTGTCATTCATTCAAAATGGGAGCTGGATTCTTGGTGTCCTGACCTACAACAGACAGCCTCCTGCTGGCGATGCTGCTTATGTGTGGTCATGTCGGAGGTGAGCAGGAGCAGGAAGCTTCTGACAATTAAATATTTAGTAAGAAAGTTCAGCTTTCACTGATCAGTGTTTTCCTTTAAATACTTACTTTTAGAAATCAGTTTCACTGGGCCTCTCTCTCAGATGCTATTTCCTGTTGCTATGGGGAAAAAAAAAAGTCATCGCCCCGCCTCTCTCCCCCACAAAGACAGATCCCAAAAAGGGCAAAAAATGTCTATGGCAGCTAATTTAGCAATGGCATTCCAGATGCAAGAGTTCATTTTAGCAACACCAGAAGTAACCCACTAAAGCTGATGTTACCACTTGGAAGACATTTGTGCAAACTCACCCACAGTACCATGGATCTTAATGTTCCTTGGAAAATAATTCTGAAATCATTTGTTGAGTAATCAGTACAAATCTTATAATTAATGCAACAGTATTGTTACTTGATTTTTAGTTCTGAAGCAAGGGGTTTTTGTAAGGTAAGGAGGTGGGGATAAATATTGGTTTTCCAGGAGACTATAAATTAGGAATCATTGGTATGGAGGCAATTTTTTTATTCAGAGGTCATGTAAACTTTATGTAAGCTTTACATTTAAAGCATCTTATTGACCTATACCTAGGACTGAAAATGCTCCCTTCTAGAGGTCAAAGACAATGCCCATCCCCAAGTTTTCCTTTGGAGATGCAGACAGTACTAATTATGTATTCTGGTTTATAATTTGTATGCTAAGTGCTTTATAGACATATGAAGACAAGATCCCCACCATGAAAAGCTGCCAATCTAGACAATGTACAAATATGGCCAAGGGAAGAATAAGATGCGACGACAGGTAAGTGAACTGTATAGCATGTTATATTAATTCTATTACAGTTTTATTGCAGGGAAAGATGAAAGATAATATGCCATTTAGAATTCTTCTGCATGGAGGTCTAGGGCTTGAAAGCTATCTGCAACTAGCCACTCCTTTAGCTGAAACTTCTGGATCATAACTAGAGGGAACATATTTACTCTCTATCTCATACAAAATATATTTTATTTACAATTTGTCACACATTGATGTAAAGAAAAGTCAACATAATGATTTTAAAGTTGACGGTCTTTATTTACAACCTTGTTGTCAAAAGGTGTAGGGAAAGTTTAAAACATTTTAAACAGAGGCCACCATAGCTGACGCCTTATCAACTCACGAATCCACATCTTTAGCATCCAGCTAAAGAAGTAAAGCATATCAATACCTACTGGAGCATGAACATCTTAATCTGTATCAGCTCCATTTAGAGTACATTGCTCAAATATTTCAGGCAGTTTCTGAATCAACTCAAAATTACTTATTAACAAATGCAGTTCTGGTGAAAAGGATGTTCATTTTGACTGTGTACTACCCCTGGTAGTAATAAATCCACTTAACTCATTTATGCTTCCTACTTTTAGTTCAAAATTACATCTCATTTTCTGCGATGACAGCTCTCAATTCAATTATTAACTAATCTGAATATTTTACTATGAGATGTAGTCAAGAGTGGAGTAAAGGAAACTGAAGGAAAGTACTTCTGTTTTTTGATGTGCCCTCCAGAATCAGCTGGGGAAACCACAAACCTCCTGTTTAAGAATTCTAGATGAAAAAATGATGTAGTCAGTTTTCACTTTGTAAGGTAGACTTCAATTTTCTTATTGCATTTGTTTGTTCATTCTTCTAAATCAAGAGTGTTTAATTCTTCTTCTAGTTCATCCAAGTCCTCTCCAGTAAAAAGATTTTCATCAACAGGAACTGCATCTATTACTCCATTTTCTTGTTCTCCTTCTGCCTCGTTTTCTTCTGAATCACTTTGCTCCCCATTCTCTATTCCACCTCCTGAAGCTTCACTTAATTTGTTATCTGAAAATAAAAACAATTCTTACGTCTATTAATGTTACAAATTCTTACAGTCAATCTATCAACATCAACTAGGGTCCATGCTTGAAGAATACACACCCATGTTTTGATGCAAAAATATAGCTGCCATACAGCTATTCTACTACGACTTACATATATGGCACCTACTAATGCAATTCATCCCACTGAACTCAACAGGACTACTTGTGTGCTTGCAGGACTGGGTTTTTAACAGTTGCAAGTGAACACAGGTGTGCGTAAATGCAAGAGATTTTTTTACAGCTCCTGTCCTCACCAGCTGGTTCATACTATTAAGTTATTACTAGGGCTGTCGATTAATCGCAGTTAACTCATGCAATTAACTCAAAAAAATTAATCATGATTAATCGCAGTTTTAAATCGCACTGTTAACAGAAATACCAATTGAAATTTATTAAATATTTTGGATGTTTTTTCTATATTTTCATATATATTGTATTCTGTGTTGTAATTGAATCAGTGTATATTTTTATTACAAATATTTGCACTGTAAAAATGATAAACAAAAGAAATAGTATTTTTCCATTCACCTCATGCAAGTACTGTAGTGGAACCCCTTTGTCATGAAAGTGCAACTTATAAATATAGATATTTTGTTACATAATTACACTCCATAACAAAACAATGTAAAACTTCAGAGCCTACAAGTCCACTCAGTCCTACTTTTTGTTCAGCCAATCGCTAAGACAAACAAGTTTGTTTACATTTACAGGGGATAATACTGCCCTCTTCTTATTGACAATGTCACCAGAAAGCGATAACAGGCGTTCTCATGGCACTGTTGTAGCTGGCGTCGCAAGGTATTTACGTGCCAGGAATCCTAAACATTCATATGCCCCTTCATGCTTCAGCCACCATTCCAGAAGACATACTTCCATGCTGATGATGCTCAGTAAAAAAATAATGCATTAATTAAATTTGTGACTGAACTCCTTGGGGGACAATTTTATGTCCTCTGCTCTGTTTTACCTGCATTCTGCCATATATTTCATGATATAGCAGTCTCAGATGATGACCCAGCACATGCTGTTCATTTTAAGAACACCGTCATTGCAGATTTGACAAAACGCAAAGAAGGTACCAATGTAAGATTTCTGAAGATAGCTACAGCACTCGACCCAAGGTTTAAGAATCTGAAGTGCCCTCCAAAATCTAAGAGGGACAAGGTGTGGAGAACGTTTTCAGAAGTCTTAAAAGAGCAACACTCCAATGCAGAAACTACAGAACCTGAACCACCAAAAATGAAAATCAGCCTTCTGCTGGCGGCATCTGACTCAGATAATGAAAATGAACATGCATCGGTCCACATTGCTTTGGACTGTTATTGAGCAGAATCTGTCATCAGCATGGACACATGTCCCTTGGAATGGTGGTTGAAGCATGAAGGGACATATGAAACTTTAGTGCATCTGGCACGTAAATATCTTGCGACAGCAGCTACAACAGTGCCATGAGAATGCCTATTCTCACTTTCAGGTGACATTGTAAACAAGAAGAGGGCAGCATTATCTCCTGGAAATGTAAACAGACTTGTTTGTCTGCGCAATTGGCTGAACAAGAAGTAGGACTGGATGGACTTGCAGGCTCTAAAATTTTACATTGTTCTATTTTTGAGTGCAGGTTTTTGTACATAATTCTACGTCTGTAAGTTCAACTTTCATGAAAAAGAAATTGCACTACAGTACTTGTATTAGGTGAATTGAAAAATACTATTCCTTGTTTTTTTAAAGTGCAAATACTTGTAATCAAAAATAAAGTGAGCACTGTACACTTTGTGTTCTGTGTTGTAACTGAAATCAATATATTTGAAAATGTAGAAAACATCAAAAAAGTATTTAAATAAATGGTATTGTATTATTAACAGCACTATTAATCACAATTAATATTTTTAATCACTTGACAGCCCTTGTTATTACTATTATTCAATGCTGTATTTAAAGTCCAGAAAGGTCAATCAGGATCAGACTTTTATTTGGTAGCTGCTGTACAAATACATAGTAAGATGAAGTACTTGCCGTGAAAAGTTAGCTAACAAGTTTAAGGTAAACTTACAGATTTTGGAGTCATCATTCATTCACTTATTTACTAAAACAGGAAAGTGTAAAGAAAGGTGTTTCCTTTCCCAGTTTCAAGACATAATTTTTAAGTGATTTAAAAGTTAAACAAATATTGTAGTAGAAATGACTGTATATATTAACTAGAGGTCAAAAGACAGGGCATTTATTTAATTAAAAACAAACAAACAAAAAAACCTGCCTATAGCAATTCCTTTCCCCTATACTAGAAAATATAGTTCTTCTGTATTTTCAGAACACAATATGTGAAGCAGCATTAAGATACTATGGAATAAGCACTATACAAATCTATCGAACATTTCTTCACAGCCTCTCTCTTTGTGGGTATTGGAAAACCTTTAACATTACTTCAATGTACTGTATCTGTTAACTTAGTTATGTCTAAACAGTGACCTTACCATCTTTTTCCACTGAAGTGTATGTGCTGAATCGCTCGAGACTAGCCACAGTAATACCAGTCTCATCTACATCCTTTGGGACATACAGGTTCAAGTCTACATCATTTATCCTCACAAGATCTTCAACCTGAAAAACAAAGTTATTTTCTTTGCATTAATCATTACTTTCCTGCAACTGATTTGTTAATTTTACATTTGACATCAACTTTTCTTTCTGCAGGTTTTATTTTGTTCAGTCTAAGTAACAGCAAACTAAAAAGGACGCCCACTATTTAAGTACTAGCCATGCTTCTCAAATTTAATCATTATTACTTTTTTTATGGAAGCCTATCAAAACCAAAAAGTTAAGTCTCTAAATTTTAAATGGTTACCAGCAATATGAGGTAGTTAAAGAGAGTTAATATTTACTTCTTTACCTCATCTTCACTTGATCCTTGAATATAATTAGTGTCGTCTGCTTCTTCATCATCGGCATCAACCAACTCCGGCCGGAACTCAAATACTTCACGTCCGCTGATCTATCCATGGGGAAGCAAGTAAGACATATTCAAACAACACTAAATGTTATCTGTACTGCAATTTAGAGAATAAAAGAAAATACACACGGCTTAATTTCAGGCCAGCTACCTCATTATAAAGTGTATTTCACTCTTTCCTCTTACAAGTAGTAGTATTTGAGTGGAGAACATACCACCAGTGCTTTGCCAGCTTTAAAATCTGCTTTCCTCCGTTCCATATCTTGTTCAGCCTTGTCAATCTTTTCTTGTCTTTTTCTTTTCTTCCATGCAAGAAAAGACTCTAAGGTGATTTTGGTAATGTTTGGTCCTAAGGCAGCACGCTGTGCAATAAAGGCATTAGCTTTAATCAATCTTTGTGAACACAATTATCTACAATACAATAGGGCAAGTTTTTCTTCACAAATTAAGAAACTGTCTCTTAAAATCATTCCCTCTTAAGATTTTTCTGTACATTAGAAATACTTAATGAGATTTTTCTTTTGACTTTCTTACTAATAATAAACATGCATTCATGCAGTCAAATTTGAGATTGTTTGACTCAAAGAAAAGTTTCAATAGGCTACATCCAAATCTATTCTACTAGTATAGGTAACCTGGCAATATTTAAGAAATGATGGTTATGTGCAACCTTAAAATATCAACGGTATGAACTAAAGGTGTCACTTTCAACGGCAACACTTGTCTTGGCTTTAGAAGAGATATTATTAAAAAATTCCCAAGTTCCTTTTAAACAATAAGCACAAACACCACTAGGTTTTTCTTCTGGTTTCAATCTTTTCAACTCCCTGATTTTGTCTACCAGCTTAAGACAAAAAAAAACACACACACAGAAACCCAGTCTTCAATAGTGCCTTCTATTCTCAGAAGCTGCATTTCAGTATTACAAGTCAAAATTCTGACCTAAAACATTGCTGCCCTCTAGAGGTAAATATTCAGTTAAACTTTACTTTGTATTCTTATCTGGTGAATAAACTGGAGAAATTAACAGTTTCAAAAGAAAGACTTGATTATTTTCAAAGAATCACTGAGTATATTTCACTCTAACGCCCAAGTGGATACAAACATCAGTGAGTACCATTTTTTTTTTTTACTCTGTTGCTAGAAGAGAATTTTGAACATGTGCCTCTTTTCAGAGTACTTTGTTAAAAATAATTAAACCATGTAATATTCAGGCTTGAATGACTGAGTTAGCTATTACCTTACCTCTCTTTCTATTAGATCTTCTAAAGAAACTTCATCTTCTTTTTCCTCCTTCTTTTTGTCTTTTTTTAGTACAAAGCCAGGAGGGAGAGCATGGCGGTACATACAATTGTCTCCTCCACCAGGACAAACCCAAAACCAGCCATATTTGTTGTTTTCGATAGCATCAAGAAAATACTTGCAGACCTGTATTAAACAACAGTGGTTATTACCCCTGAATCCTACCTTCTCCTCCCCAGCTACCTACACTGGTAAAGTGAGTTTGTCACATTAACTCAGGAACAGTATTACAACAATGGTCAGTAAATCACATCTAGTCATATTACATTTCTGAGCTACCATTCAAACAGAAGTCCCAAGAAGAAATATTTTTGAATGTATTTAGACTAAAGAACAATGGACAAATGTCAAAAGAGTACAACTGATTAATGTATTTAAATAAAAAACTACATTTAAAGTTTTCAGCAGCTTTTTCTGTTAAAGCTTCTCAAATTTGGGGGAACAGATGGCTTAAAAGACTAGTGATTGATTGTCTAGTGGTATAAATCCAGTGTCTCTGTGTGAAGCGAGTTGGTCAGGTCTTCTAGATTTTAATTTTAATTTAAAAAGAGGCCATGGTTTTGTATGTTTTTGGCAGTTTCACACTGATACAACAAGAATGTAATGAGAATGGAGACTATACTCTACGACCCTTTCAACCTTGGAGGTTGTCCGTTCCAGGTCAAGTTTTGAAGCACACTAAAGGGACAGCATGCATTCTTGCTGCAGTTGTACACCCATCTCTACACAGAACACTTCAGTTGCCAGAGCTGTGAATCTGGCAACTTTAACAAGCAATGTATTAATTTTACTATAGATCCCAAGCTGTTCTTTCACATTTCACTTCCAACTGTGTCATGAGTAATATTTAGTTATTGTGAAATAACATAGCATGAATACAACTACCATTTTCTTGTATTTTTAGTTTGTATGGATAACAATGTGGAATTAAAAGAGTGAAAAACACAAAAGTATAAAATATTAAAGATTTAAACTGATGCTAGTTAAGGCAAGATAAAATTAAGGTCCCAATTTAAAATATCCCATAGTTTTGGAGCCCTAAATACTAGAAAATCCCTTCTAATTAGTGATTTTTTTTAGACTTAGCATTACAGAAAAGATTAAACTGTATGCACTGATGTAGGACACTCATGGTTAGAATATTTCTTTGTTCCCATCTATTAATCTATTAGCATCTTAGGTTCACAATCAAAAAGGTAAGATGTGCAAGAGAATCAATCACATAAGTAATCCTATTGGCATATGTAACTATGAACACTTAAATCTTGAATGTGGGTAGTCAAATTATATCCAGTAATGTACCAGGATTACTCTTCATACTGTTTATGAAATCATTTCTATCTTAGAAAAAGATGCTTCTCATACCCAAATATGCACATAAAAGTATATATTTATAATTATAAAAGAGCCTTGCTTATTTCAGAAATATGTCAAGATGATAGAATAATGCAAGTCAACCTTTATCCTCAAAAAGCCTTTATAATATTCAAATAAAGATTTCAAGATATTCTAGTAGAAAAATCCAGTACCTTTCCAAATTTAATTCTCTCTAATGATAGCTAATAACTACTGCAACTCAATTAAAGAAAAGGACATACTATTTGAGTTTTGGGTTTTTTCTTTTCCGCCTCACCATGCTTCTTGTTCACCACCTCTTCCAGCTTTTTCTCATCCCAATTATCCATTGTATCTAGATATAAATAGTAAAAAAGTTGGTTTCACTTACATCTCAAATTATAACTAAAATACCAAGCCTCACAATCAAACTGCTTTGGATTCTGCAGTTTAACTGCAGTAAAGGAAAAGCAATACTGTCAAGTTTAGGTTCTTAATTATGATTTTAATAAAGAGGATTTTCAAAGCCTCACATGCTTTTATTTATTCGTAAAAAGTACTTTAAAACTTCTTCTCTGAGAGCATTTTAAAGAATTTACACCTCTTCCTCCACATAAACTCATGTTTCCAAAAAAAGGAAACATGGAATAGTAGGTGGGATGGTGCCCAGGAAGGAGGTAGGGGGAAGACAGCTCAAACAAACACATGAGCAGGAGAAGAGAGGCTGACAGATATAAGTCAAGGTAGGAAGTTCTTTATCACCTTTGGTGATACAGAAGAAGCAGCTATTAAAGAAAAGAGGCTGTGAGGGTTGGAACACTAACAAGAGCAATGAAGCCATATGTGTTGTCCTGGTGCACCACTTCAGTGTGTCAAAAGGTTAAAACATTACCCAGCAGGAATGGCATACAACATTGTGTTAGTGCATGACAACCACAAAAGAAAATTGACCTGTCTTAGTGTAGCTCTCTAACCCATGCTGAGCAAAAGTGCAAAGCCAAACAACACTCTATTTTTGACTGATCAGTGCTGATGGGGAATGAAGCCACAGACAGAAGCTTCCCAAGCAACCTGAATTTAAAATACTGTTCAAACACATTATGCTACTACTAATAGCATATGTGCAAAAAACATAATAAGTTGCAGTTCATTTGCTTTTTCTAAAGCCTGGGTATTTTTAGAAGCAATTGGAAACTAAAAGGAGCCAATTCTAGATGACTTGCCACCTCTATATTGTAAATATTCCACACCACCAGAGTTTAAGGACTGCTGCCCTGTAGCGCATTGTCTTTATTATACTAATCCATCAAAATAGGGACTAGAAAAAATTCTCTTGCAGGTAAGAAGTTGAGTGATTTTTCTTTTTTAAATCAGCTCAATATTATTTGTATTACCAACCACCTAGAAGTCCCAGCCATAGGCCACGACCTGATTGTGCTACGCATTGTATAAACAGAAAAAGAAGACTATTCCTGGTCCAAAGAGCTTATGAACTTATTATTAGAACTTTGGCACCTGTAAAGTATGTTGGCAGTTATTTTCCAGAAAGAACATACCTTTTTCAAGATCTTCATCTCTTGCATCAATGTAAACACTGCGTTTTTCACACTTTCTCTCCAAAGACAAATCATGAGAAAACTTGCACTTATCTCCTTTAGTGCACTGTCCTTGCTTGAAGAAAGCACAAACTACTGATTTGGGATCTGCACCTGTGTCATATGAAATTTAGTATTTTAGTACTGTTTCCAGGCAAAACACTAAGTCGCATTTAAAATGATTTACCACATTTTTTTTCAAAAAGCATTAAACGCAACATTTCAGTTTTTAAACACCAAACAGTAGAGCATAGAAATTCAAAGTTAATTTAAAAAAAACCTGGAAGTTATTCACAATACAATTACCATCACTAACTTCTCTCAGTCTGCTTCAATACCACTACCAAGCTGCTGTCTTTCATGTACGTATGCTTCCGTACCTACTTTGTTGTTAGGTTTGTTTTAAATGTCCAAATTTAAAGGCATTTTGCTATTTAAGAAAAATCTGGCATCAATGTGTGGCTTAAGTAATGCATGTGATCTACTCTTAGCTTATTACAATAGGTACTAATTCAAGAATCAAATTCACTTTATAACTATCAACTGGGTTAATCAAGTTTCTTGTACTTAATTCCAATATTGATTCATAAGCCATGATATTTTCAGTAGCAACCAGCTAGCTCCAGTGCAACATAGTTAATGGAAATATCAAACATTTACACAGGCACTGAACCACTGCTATGGGATGTATTACTATAGCAATGAAACTATTAGGATTTAGTCTTAATGAGGCAGTGATGTTTATGGTTCGGGTGGGGTACTGAGTGTCAGGCAAAAAAAAAAAAGTTTGATTTGGCCAATGATCTGATCTGACACCTAAGGGCTAGTCTACATTATACAGGCTCTGCTGATAGTTACATTGGCACATTACATTATAGCTCTACTGGCAGATTCCCCTAGTCCAGGTGCAGTATATGCCAACAGAAGAAGTTCTTCCTGGTGGTATATTACCACCAGCTCCCCAAACAAAATTAGCTATGCAAACAGAAGCACTCTTGTTGGCGTGTCTGTATGTACACTGGGGTTTTGGCTGGCATAGCTAGGTCAGATAAAGGGTGTGGTTTTTCTCACACCCGTGACCGACACAGCTATGCTGAGAAAACTTTGTAGTATAGATCTAGCCTAACACACAACAACCATGACTGTTTTCCCACTCTGTAAAATGGGGATAATGCTAATTTAAAGTGTTCCTTACTTACATAAATAAAATAATCAAATTGTTATACTTTTACAAAGAAATAGACACCACTGAACAGTAAAGGGCAGCACACAAAAAATGAAAACTATATGCAAGGCCCCTGGAGCAGGGAGTCCACAACTGGCATGGAGCCTGTAAAACCAGTTCACTGCAGCCTCTGGCACAGGAACAGTTTCAGAGAAGGACAGTGTTAGAGTGAGTGTACTACACTCTAGCAATCTCCAGGGCAGAGAATTGGGGAACCGCAACTGGTTCTAACAGCCCTCCACCCCCAACTCTACTGTACCAGTAAAAACTGGATGCAGCACAGAATCTGCTCCTGCAGCCTGCCAATGTTGATGAAGAAATCTCCATTGAAATCAGAGCAGATTTCCGTACTCAGATCAATGACATTATGACCTCACAATGGTTAGCATTAAAAGGTCACATAATATATCACCTATGTCACCTAGCCCTTCATATCCATTTTAGTTTTATTTGTTAACAGAACGGAATTTTTAAAATAAAAAAGTTAGAACTGCTTGCTTATAGATAGGAAAACTGACATTTTAAATTTTTTTTTAATGTGAACTATATAAAATACTAACAGAATTAGCTACAAACTAAAATGTTACATTACTCTTAGTTTACCTTTACTAATTTTCTGGGCAGCAACTACAGGTTTGAAGAGTTCATTTAGTTCCTGTAATTCTTTCTTCTTATCATCCTTCTTTAATTTCTTGTCACCTTCAGCCTGAGCAGCCTATAATAATCCCAGATTTGAAGTGATTGGTAAAGGATATTTAGAACCGTGAAATTATTCACAATCTGTGCACTACAGCTTCAAAGATAACATAGCATGCAATATTAATTATATGTCATATAGAACGACAGTCACTGATTTAGGAGGTGTCAGCATTATTCTTTTCCTAATATTTCCTTGTATTAATGGCCAGGGTGCACTAGCTAGCAAATGTCAGGAAGAGCTAAAATACATTTCAAACCAAAGAGAGGAAAGAAATTAACAGCTAACATTTTACAAGGGCTAAGATATACTAATATGATTGAAGGACCCTTTTCTATTTTTGTTCCACATTTATGGAATAGGAAATCAGGAAATAAGTGTCATTGCTGGCACAGGACAGCCATCTTCTAGCAGGACTCTAGCAAACATAAACTGTCACAGTAGAGGAATAACTGAATTAAAGACCCAGCACCAACACTCAGCCCAGTTACTCTTGCCCAAAATCCACAAAGGTAGAGACTCTACTATTAAAACCCTAAAATTTATGTTTTCGTCTTTCCTTTTATGTGTATCCACAGCAGCCAGCCAGGAAGTTTGGCTTTGAAAGTGGTCTTATTCATCTACATCACCTAGCCAATATTTTATTTTATTGTGTGCAGTTCTTCAGCATTACAGTGTTCTGTTAATAACTGATGGTGTACATGGCAGGAAAGCTTAGTTTCATTTGAACTGTGTGTGAGGAAGAGACAATGTATAAAGTAGAAAGGGAAAACTATTTCTATGACTACAAGGAAGACATTGTGAACCTGCCTCCCCCTTCTAGTAGTTTAAAAATCAAGCCTCATCATCATTAGTCACTGTTACTTAAGCTGGTAGGAAAAAAGACCTATACCCCAATACCTGGACCAGTACAGAAGAACGAAGACATGGGAAAATAGCATGTACAATTAATTAGTTTTAATACGCCTGATTCTCCTCCCAAAGTTGTTAATGGGACTTTATACCTAATGGCCCAGTCAGAACTGAAGTCATTGGTAAACAGTCATTTGAAAGAATCCTTCTCTCTTTTTCAATATATTGTCATTCAGGCTCTGCAGTCTGGATACTTCTAGGCAGCGGCCTAATTTGATGCAATGCAGAATTAAAAGCAGACTCCCCTCTTCCCTAAATGATGCACGAGATTTCTAACTTTCAAAATAGTTATAAAGGTAAATTGATCCTGGGCTAACAGTCAACCTAAAAAAGATGCTAAATTATCTTTACAATTTTGATTTCTAATGACATTCAATCTAGAAAAGCCTATTTCAATCCTACTTTGCATCTGATGGATGAAATGGCACCTCCACACTTGTCAACTATAATAAAAACCAATATGTTTAGTGATTTACTCTTTGGAATTACACACACTTATTAGAGTACCTTTGTTACACCTCTAGGGTTAGAGCTGAAGTTGTTTCTTAGCTCGACAGCACTTCCATTTGTACCTTAAGACATGCCTGTCTTTGACTCTTGAGGGTTATTCACAGAGGTATGGCCTTGGGAGGTACAGCACTGTATTAGGATTAGATGTTGAAAGTTCTCTTCCTGGACTTCTAGGTTTCCTGGCTGTTTGGGGAGAAAAGTTTCAACATCTAATCCTAATACAATGATGTACCTCGCAAGTCCGTAAGACATACAAGGATATACCTTGCCCAGTTTCCATTTTTTGTTGAGAGGAATTCTTCTCTTTTGCGCACAGCATTGTCAGAAAGCAGCAACTGAGCGAAATCAACAGAAGCCTGGTCAGTTTTACAATTGCTATTCAGTGGTGGGCAGCTGTGAAACTCAGACGAACCAAAAAAGAATTTCACAGGCCTCTACAGATGATCCTAGCTAGCGACCTGCGCCTCATGCTGCAGAGAAAGACAAAAAACCCAAGGTGTCTGACAATCTGACCTGGGGAAAATTCCTTTCTGACCCCACGTATGGCAATCAGCTAGACCCTGGTCTTGTGAGTAAGACCCACCCAGACACCCGAGAAAAGAATTCTCAGTACCATCACATAGCAGCCTACCTTCCCATGCCGTGTCCCATCTCCGGCAGTGGCCTAAAACCACAGAAATCTCTGGCTGGAAGAGACCTCAAGAGGTCAGGACCCTTCCCCTGAGGCAGGACCATACCTAGCAGGTGTTTGTCCAACCTGTTCTTAAAAACCTTCCATTACCTCCCTTGGAAGCCTATTCCAGTGCTTAACGATCCTTACAGTTAGAAAGTTTTTCCTAATATCTAACCTAAATCTCCCCTGCTAGAGATTAAGCCCACTATTTCTTGTCCTACCTTCAGTGGACCTGGAGAACAATTGATCAATATCCTCTTTATAACAACCCTTAACTTACTTGAAGTCTTATCAGGTCTTTTTTTCTCAAGCCTAAATATACCCAGGTTTTTGGTTTTTTTTTTAAAACTCTTCCTCATAGGTCAGTTTTTTAAAACCTATCATTTTTGTTGCTCTCCTCTGAAATCTCCAGTTTGTCTACATTTCTCAAAGAGTGACGCCCCCAACTGGACACAAAACTCCACCTGAAGCCTCATCTGCAGCGAGTAGAGTGGGACAGTTACATTCTGTGCCTTACTTACAACACCCTTATTATTACATCCCAGAATGATATTAGCCTTCTTCACAATTGCACCACATTGTTGCCTCATATTCAATTTGTGATCCACTATTACTGCCACTTAACCTCCACTCCCTAGCCAGTATTACTGCCTAGCCACCTCTGATGTTTTAGCCCTTAGAATGGAATGGAGGGAAAAGACTGCCTTCCTGACCCGTATAGGTGAAAAAGAGCCACTTTGTTTCACTTTTGTTTATAATTAGGTGGTAGTTATTTACCTTCAGGTTTCACACACTAGCGCAATAATACAATGTTTGGATTAAAAGCATTTCATAGGAATGTTTGCTAATCCTGTTACCATTGAAAAGCTTTTTAAATATGGAAACATCTTCACTAGTTGACAGGTTTTATTAAAAATGTACATTAAAAAATTATAGATTTGGAACTATGTTATCCTTTAACTAGACAAACATTAACTTAACAATAATGACAAAGAGCATTAGTGTCTGACAATTAAATAGCTATTATTTTTAAAAAAAATTTAAACCAACTGAATAAATTAAAATTGTGCTAGCCAAAGTAATAAATCTTATCTCAACAACATCTCATTACAAGTCTATGAGAGACATTATGATTGATAAGAGATAATTACAAATTCAGTGCTTACCTGTCTTGGATTTTGTTGACCAAATTTAACTTGATGAGTCACAGCCTTGATAAACTTCTGCTGTTTTGCTCCTTTCTTATTCTTTAGACCAAATGTTTTGTCCTAAATTAGAAGAGATTTGTATAAGTGATGCTTCAGCTACTGGACATTCTATGAAAAGTTCAATTTAAGTTACAACAAAAATGTACTGTTCCTCTCAACTTATCAATACCATTCCCACCCTTGATTTCCCCAAAGCTACTTTGATCTGAGGAACAGAATGGGCAATATTTAGTCTTGCATTTGGCAAAGATTGAAGGTCTTATATCAAATTAAACACTAGCTCTTAAATTAAAATAGATTTTTTTCAATTTAAACAAGCCATGTTATTTCTCAAAGGTAGCAATATAGCATTCTGATATTACAGTTAATTCTCTTTTAGTCAAGAAAGAGCAAGAAGAGTATTCAAAGATTTAATTAAAACTAATTAAAAAACCCTATGGCTGTAACTTCCAGTTCAGTAAGTGTTATTTAGTTTTTGAATGATGTAATCTGGTCATAACATCAATAATGAGGTAAAAGTCTATATTTAAATATAGAAGGCCTGCATGGAGACAGAATTAAAAGAATAAAAAAAAACCATGATAAAATAAAAGACACCTCAACAAGGATTTGGTAAATTAAATAATCTATCCCAACAGGCAGTTATGATTGACTGAACCAATAACATGATGCAGCAGTTGTAAAATGAAGAGAATACAAGCTTACATTCTATCTGTTAAACTCAGTTTACCATCCGAGTTGCGTGTCATTTTGAGACTCAGCTCCAAAACAACTCGTAATCCTTTATTTTCCCTTTGGAGATTTCTGTACTAACTGAAGTCAATTTTACAGATCTGTAAAACCTATAGGGCTTTTCATTTAAAAAGAGGTTAGCTTGCATTACTCACAACTTTAACTTTGACTTGTGGAACAATATTATTCCCAAGTAAAGTTCAACGGGTAACACAAAATAAAGAAAGACATTGTCTATTCCAGTGGTTCTCAACCCACGGGCCATTTACGGTCCAATCAGCACACGGCTGCAGCCCATGTGACATCCTCAGGGCCATACATGTTTATTATATATTTATATTTATATATATAGTGTGTGTGTGGAGGCAGCCCACAGAACATAGAAAGCTGCATATATGGCCCACAATGTTCACAAGATTGAGGAACACTGGTCTATTCTATTGAGAATGATAGAACAGAAAATAGACTAGAGAAGTATTTAAAACACAATACTTTCTGGGACCACCAGTTTCAAGTTTTGGGCTGCAGAAAAAGGCTTCCCAGTTAAATGCACTAAGCTATGGGAAAGACAGAAACTGCGTATGTGACCTTAAAATGGACTTGGAGGGTCTGCTGATTTTTTTTGGTGAAAGCCATTCCATAGCATTTTTGTAAGAGCAACAGTTGCCCTAGGGTGTCCAACCAAAAGCGTCTCCCCGTTACTGCTGCTTTCTGTTATGGCAAGGTGTGCTTGTCACTTGCCTCCCCCAGAGGTGCTGAACCAAAGGGTCCTCCAAATTAAATCAATGTCTTCAAATTATCTGAATATTTGTGCCCCAAAATTTTGTAGGACAGCAAAATATCCATGTAATCCTTTCTTGTCCTGCATTCTTTTAACAGTTTTCCTTTCCATTGCTGTAGTTCCTCTGCCCACCCATCTTCCTCATGTGCCAATGTAAGACACCATTAAAGTAGTATTTTACGAAGTTTCACACTATAACAGCATCTGTTGAAGAAAAGGCACCTGCTTTCTGTGTGTTCAATCCAAAAAGTTGCTGAGTATCCCCCATTCCATGGAAAAAAGTGTCTGCTCACACTCCTTTGCAGCAATTTTTCTCCCTACATTTTCAGTTTGTTTATGGAGGGAAGAGCTTCTATCTCAGTTCCATTCAAATTTTATATAAAACCTGACAACTCCCTTTACACTCCTATCTGCAGCAGTGTATTTTTCTGTGACAGCAACGTCTATTTAAAGCCTATCTTTGGCTTTGATTTAATTCTATTTATTAGAAGCAGAAAAATATTTTATTGCTAGTCACTGAAATAAAAAAAAAAAAGTCACCCAATGATAACATCTTGGTTAACACAACTTGGGAAATGTTAATAAAGAAAAACACCTATCAAAATAACCAAAATTTAAGTAAATTAGAAACTGGTTACTTTTTATTGAAACCACTAAAAAATAGTGCCAGCACTCAAGCTCACAAAGTTTTACATACTAATTAACTATCAATAATAATAATGGATTGGTGAGTTTTTGGTGTATATTTCTAATAATTTGTTGCTTTGCAATGAACGTATAGCTTTTAAATACAACAAACATAAGGCCTGGTCTACACTATAAAGTTAGGTCGACGTAAAGCAGCTTATGTTGACCTAACTCTGTAAGCGTCTACACTAAAATGTCACTCCCACCAATGTAAGTCGCCCACTATGTTGACTTAGGTCATGTCTACACTAGCACTTATGTTGGCAAAACTTTTATCATTCAGGGTGTAAAAAAAACAAACACAGCCCTGAGCATCGTGTGCACAGCGCTATGTCAGTGGGAGACGCTCTCCTGCAAACATAAAACCAGCTCAACGAGCAGTGGTAGCTATTATGTTCTCTCCTGTTGGCATAATGCGACTACCCAAGCGCTCTTGCAGCGGTACAGCTGTACCACTGTAAGCTTGTAAGTGTAGACACTGCGTTACTTACATCATCTGTTGGCTATCAGCCCCACAAGGGCCTGACAGCTAGGACCTCCCAGTGGTGGGGCTCCAGCTGTCAGCCCTGCAGTGAGGGGCTCCAGTTGTCAGTGCCCCCCAATGCCCCAGAGAATTAAGTCAGTGGAAGCACTCCTGGTGAGGACCCACACAGCTGACAGAAGGAATACAGTATGGATGTCGACTTAATTTTGTAGTATAGACATGCCCTAACTTATGAAAAAAGACTGATTCACATGTGGCATTATTGCCTCATTTTATATAATGAATGTCCCTTAAATACACCATTACTTTACATGTATTATCGTGTTTGTGATCTCATTTGAAAGGTCAAAGATAACTTATATGTTTTTTCAACTACAAAATAAGAATCTTTGCGGACTAGAACTCTTCTATAACAGAGTTCAGCCAGAACATTACTAATTCAGCAACCAGCACTCCAAGATAATCATTACAATCTAAAGCAGTTTAAGGAGTGTAATAAAAAAGAACAATTGCGTGAGGGTAGTTTGTAGCATTATATTTAAAAGGAAAATTGTTAAGGTAGGTAGATCCCAAATCTAACGTACCCGACCCATCTCCAGTCAGTTTGCTTAGATATTTAATTCTCTACTTATGCTCTTTCATCTCCCCCCAAAAGTCATATTTTCAGCATTTCAGAAGATATTCATTCACAAGGAAGCCCAATGACAAATGAAGCTGTGTAATGTTACAAGTGTTATTAAATAAAATTATAAACACTGAAATTTCTTAACAGTCAAGAATAGCTTTATGAATGACAGACATTGTTAGAGGACCAAGAGAGCACAAAATCTCACTACCTAATAATCTTTAATTTATTCAGCCTAGATTTGCGAAATAAGTATTTACTCCTGGCTATTACATCAGTTGACATTATGCCCTGCCACAAGAGACGACAGGCCAAGTTTTGAATTGAGATCCACGTACAGAGTGATTTGATTTGACTGGCATTGCAGACATACATCTGAAAGAGCTGAGCCCTGAAAGCTTTCTAACACCTGTGCTCTAATGTGTCAGAATAAAAACTTTGACCAACCCATCCTCAGGCTGAAAATAACCGACCCTGGTCTATTTACGGGATCCAATGAAAAGAGCAGTTAAAGGGCCACGGACGAGCCAGGATGCGTTAGCAGATGTGACTGGTGCCTTGGAAGAGGAAGGGCGGCAGAGTCCCCCCAGAGACGCCTCCACAGCCGGTGGCAGCATCTTCTACACTTTTGTTTTTAAGCTTGTCGATTTAAAAACATTTTCATTAAGTTGTTTCAACAGCAGTGGCCGCCCAGTAGCCATTTCTCCGGGGGGAGGAGAGGAAAGAGCGAGACCAGCTCCGTTTCTACGGCAAGCTAAGGTTGATGGTTTAAGGCTCCCCCAGACCGCGAGGGGTCAAGAAAGGGCCCGGGAAGGGCGAGGGGACGGACAAGCAGGTGGCGGGGAAGAAGAGAGGGGGAAGGAGGAGGGTGACGGGGCCGGATCGGGGCCGAGGAGCAGGGACGGGGACTACGGGGTGCGGTGGGCAGCAGGGGCCGGCGGAATACGAAGGCGACGCGGGGACACACCGGAGGCGTGACGTGGGAGAGACGGTTATGGACTCCCTGTCCCCCCTCCCTAAGCTACGGCTCCGCTCTCCCCATCCCATCGCGCCTGTGAGGCGCCTCAGAGGGCCTGGCTACCCCGGCTCCTGCCGCTGCCGCCTCCCGGGCCCCCCCCTCACCTCGATGATCTTCTCCTTCTTTTTCTGGTCCGCCTTCTTATTGGGCCCCGCCGCAGGTGGCGGTTTCTTGGGGGGCATCTCGGGAAAGGGGGGCAAGCCCCTGTCCGCGCTCGCTCGGGTCCTCTCAGCGCCGCGGCCGGAAAGCGCACGGGGACCGACGGGCCGTAGGGCAAAGCCAAGCAATGAAAAAGCAAAGGAAGGATTCCGTTTACGACAGGCCGTCAACGACCACTGCCCCGAGGCGCTCTGCGGAAGCGGTTGCGCGCGCAATCTGAGGTGGGGAAGAGCGTACAAAGATACGTCCCACAAGCGAAAAATCCCAACGATGCCGGAATCACGTGACGGGGGTGAGGCGCGGTTGCCCTGGCCGGCTCCCTCCCCCACTGCTGAGGGAACGGTCAGTGGTCACGCGGGGCGGGACGGAGCCTCGCGCTCTCCGCCGCGGTCCCGTGGCGGAAGGAGCAGGTCCCCTGCGCCCCGCCCTTCCCAGCCAGTGCAGCCGGCGTTGGGCCGCGGGCCGCTCGGGGCCTCCCCGTTCCGCCGGCGCTCCTCGGCCGAACCCTTACTGCAGGTCGGGGACGTGCCTGCGCCGCCCTCCCTTGCGGCCTCGTGCTGACTGCCCCGGGAGCTGGCGTCTTGCGAGGGCGCTGGTGTGGAGCTGCCGCCAGCCCAAACCGGCCTGGCCTGGGAGCCCAGGTGTGTGACCTGTAACACGGCGGGGCAGGACTCCGGCCCACGGTGCTATTCCAGCGACGTATGACCCCCCCCCCCGGCCTCCGCGCCTTCCCCCTCAGTCAGTAATACGCGTTTTCACTACTCAGCTGCCTAAATGTACAGTGATTTACAGCAAATTCAGCTATCCGGTGACGTACCTAACGCCCCTCCCCGAAGCCAGCCCTGCTGGTGCTTTTGGAAGAAGTGCATATTAAGGAGAGAGGTGGACAGAGGGTCCCATTTGTGAGGGGATGTAGGGAAAAGAGGATGGAGACCTGACTGGGGGCCTGGGAGACAGAGCAGTGAGGCATGTGGCCTGGATTGGCTGGGGAATGAAGGGTGATAATAGATTGAAGGGTGGCAATTTTGCAACAGAAAAGCTTCAAAACAGACTCCAAAGAGAAACTGCTGAGCTTGAATTAATATGCAAACTAGATACCATTAAGAAAAGGAGTACTTGTGGCACCTTAGAGACTAACCAATTTATTTGAGCATGAGCTGTAGCATGAGCTGTAGCATGAGCTGTAGCTCACGAAAGCTCATTCTCAAATAAATTGGTTAGTCTCTAAGGTGCCACAAGTACTCCTTTTCTTTTTGCGAATACAGACTAACACGGCTGTTACTTGGATACCATTAACTTGGGTTTGAACAGAGACTGGGAGTGGCTGGGTCATTACACATATTGAATCTATTTCCCTATGTTAAGTATCCTCACACCCTCTTGTCAACTGTCTAAATGGGCCATGTTGATTATCACTAAAGTTTTTTTTTTTCTCCTTCTGATAATAGTTCATCTTAAATAATTAGCCTCTTACAGTTTGTATGGCAATTTCCACCTTCTCTGTATGTGTATATATATATATCTTCTTACTGTCTGTTCCATTCTGTGCATCGGATGAAGTGGGCTGCAGCCCACGAAAGCTTATGCTCAAATAAATTTGTTAGTCTCTAAGGTGCCACAAGTACTCCTTTTCTTTTTAATAATGATTGTATGTATATATAAGTTGCTTTGGTCCTTTTAACAATTACTTCCATTAATTTACCATGAAAGGGACAACCAGGGCCAAAGGGGGAGAGAATTTCAAAGGCACAAATGCAGTTAGGCACCTAACCCCAATGTTACCATTATGTGATATTATCTCAATTCTCACATAATTGATGTTTTTAAAGCCTGAGCTCTTAAAGTCAAATATTAGGGTTGCATTTTTTTACTAGCTCTAATACAGACTTCCTCTGTAACCTTAATCAAAGTCACTTAATTTTACTATGCTTTAATTCCCTCATGAGTACAATGGATATAATAAAACGTAATGTGAGTCTTTCTTAATTATTAATTGTATTTCCTGGTTATATCGGAAACTAGAAGTACATGTGCTAAAATATCAAACCAGTTAAAGAGGCTACCCTGATGGTGTGTTGGGCCTGACCAAAAGCAAAACGTAATGGCAATCGGGAGCCTGCTCTCAGAAGATTTCCAGCGTATACAGATTTGCAAGTGTGGGAGGTTCTGATAAAGGTCCACATTGTGGAGGATGCTTTCCTAAACAAAACTAAATTTCAGATCTTTTGAGATTTGCCTTATTACTTGCACTTGCTTCCAGACTCATTTGAGTATATTTGTCGTCATCTGCATAATTGGAAAGGTTACCAATTTAAGACTAATTTACTTCTACAGATGATATGACAATACTGATTTTATATAATGGAAATCACTTGCTTAAATTACTAAAAAAGCTAGGTTGTACTGTGAGCCAAATCTGTTGGGTAACGTTCAGTATGACACCTCTGAGAAATCAAAAACATGAAACTTTTCTATTAAGATTCCAAAATGAGCAGAACAGGAGCAGCAAGGTAATTCATATGCAAATGTGGTAATTGCTTGGATACAAAAGTTCAATTTTGCTATGAAATTTTCAATGTTGGTTTTTTTTAAGTTGGAGAATCCATAGGAAATGAGTCAGTTTGTGTTGAGAGTAAAAGTGATGACTATCTCAGGGTAAGAAACTATTAGTGCTTAAGGAATCCTTGCCTTATATAATAAAATTAAATTTAATTTTGTGCTCATGAAAGTAACTGAAGACAATGGAAGGCCTCAAATTTATGTGCAGAGTAGGTACAGCTCCAGCAATAACCATCCATGCTATCCCCACCACTGGGTCTGATTGTCTTCTTGCAATAGGTTTAGAATAGTACAGTTCCACTGATTTTAGAGTCATTATTTCTATTTTAGATTGGTTTATGTAAGGGGGTATTAGTCCAATTGTATTCCAACCATTTATGGGATGAGTGTTTTAGATACTCTTTGCTAATACTGCCAACAAACATGTCGGTTACTGCCATTTATTATGGTAGTTTTGTTGTTTGGAATTTTGATCAATTTGCACTCACGCATATAGCATCTTTCAGTGCTCTCTGTTCTCACAATACTCATGTGAGCGTTAAGTATGAATATCTGCATTTTACAGGTAAAGGTCTAGAGCATCCCCTCTCAAGGAGTAACCTTCAGGAGGTAGGCAGGGGGAGGAGTATCTTCTCATATTGCTCTCCGTTCAGCTAATGTTGTTCTCACAATACATACTAGAGCTTCCTCTGATGGCCCACTGATGTTACTTCCTGAAAATCACTTTGATGTAATAGTGATAGATAACCAGTAGCTTGCTTCAAGCATCTGAAGTCCAGAAAGTGTACCCTGTCTGGGGGTTGCTTCTTTAGAAGAAACTGGGATTCCATTACGGCTTATAGATACAGCCATAATGGTGGTGTTTCTGGAGAGCAGCAAGATGTACCTGGGTTTTCCTTTGTTCTTTAACTGTCAAATCAGGATGCTGGTTCACCAAATGGCTGAAGAATATAGGCTATGAGTACATAAGCACTAGGGAACAGGGAGAGAGATACATCAGCAATCAACTCGTGTCTGGGAAATACTGATGCCAGTGGGCAAAATCAACCCCACAAATGTCAGAGCCTTCAAAAAGAGGCTCTTGCCCCTGGCAAGAAGGGAGGAAGCAGCATGAGATTTGAAAATGCTGCACCTGGAGAGAATGCAAAAAGAAAAACTAACAGGAAGAGTGGGTGAGAGAGAATCGGGAGCTAAACATGTACCCACAAGAAATAGCAGGGAAGAAACACAAAAGGAAAGTCTGCGATTAAAATGACCTGACAATGCAGCTGAGGAGGACACTGATATCCTGATTTCTGCTATGTTGGCAGCTACCAGAGAAGTTCAATGCCGGAGAAGCTGCCTGTCCCACAGATGTCTCCATTCTCTACTTTCACCTTCAGTGGGATTTGTTTGATGATGAAGAACGGGCACAGCTATCCATCAAGACTTTAGTCTCCAAGTCCTATAGCTTTAGTTGCTTTTTGTGAGGTTCTAGATAGCCAGAGTGGATAAAAACCCCCCTCCAGACTCTCAATCATATATCCATTCATTCATCTACTCATTGTCTAGAGGGAGGAGAATTAATTCACAATACAGAGATTTTTCTGGGGGAAAAAGAGACCATATTGAGGAGAAAAAACCAAGACTACACAAAGTAAGCCGAATACTCCATTGAAAAATGTCATCTACTATTTAGTTATATATAATCTTGTTTCAGATTTATTTTGGTTAATAAAATTTAAACTTAGAGCTGTTGAGTATGTACAGTACCATAGTTAGCAACTTAAGTTTCCAACAGACTCATGGAGAATATACTGTGGGTAAAACTGATTGATCAAAATTTCTTAACTCCTGAGTCAGCAGAACACTTAAGAATGTTAGTAATCCTACTGACTTTGGTAAGGCTCATTTGCTTAAAGTTAAGCAAATGTGTAAGTGCATTGTTGAATTGGGACTTTAACCTATATATATATATTATTTGCATTATATTCACCCTTATCTAGCTTGGGACGCTACATTACATAGATACAATGATTTTCTAATGTATGCCTGCACTAATAACACAATCTCCAAAAATAAAACTGTAATCTCTGCCTTCAAAACCCAGCAAAGAACTTAATCAAGGACTGGATAGTAATACAGGTTAAAAAAACCCTATCTTCCTCATGGTCCAGTGTGGTATAAGGATAACAGAACAAGTCCTCTGATGTGCTCTTGACGTAATTTGTGTTAGATATCTAACCAAAGAAGCAACCCCCCGCCCCACCACAAAAAAAAAAAAAAAAAAAAAAAAAAAGCTTCCGTGGAATACTACTAACCTCATCCGGATCCTCCAAAACACTTAAAAAACACTCCCTTCTAACAATTGACCCCCTTAACAATATTTACTTACTCTAAACATTGATTAGTAAACCAAGCAAATCTTAGCTTCCTCTCCAATAATATAATCAACAAATTCATACTTTGTCTATCAGGCAACACGTCTGCTGTATATTTTGATTTTTTTTATTTTCAGTGCTGTAGGAACAAAACCTGGATGGAATCACTAAACAGACGTGCCGCCAGTTATACAACAAAATTGGTTTGTAGTAAAAGAAAACAGGTTACTAAACAACGTGTAACCAAACAAAAAATATTTTGAATTAAGATAGACTTCTCTTGAGAAGAAAACCAGCTGCCATGCTGCAGTCAGAGATGAATTTTCCAGATGTTAATCTTTTTCCCAC